AAATTTTGAGATAACATCATAAATTTTTTGGGGAAAATAAACAGATTTATTTTGATCAACAATTTACCATGCTTACAATGACCTTAAAACGTCTGCAAGATTTCAAAGTATTCAGTTTTGCAATTCTTGATTAAAGCAATAAAATAAATTTACGCATTCATTAACTTTTTTGAGTCACCCTGTATATGCAAATCCAAAAAATATGAACGGAGTGATAAATCACAACTACAGAATCATCATATTTTGCACATTTAAGGTAGGATTTATTCAGCAAAATTTTGACGTGACGTCATCAATTTTTTAGGAGGGTGATGAGCAAATACATTTTGACTAAAATGCCTATGACAACTTTAAAACATCTCCAAGATTTCAAAGCATTCGGTTTTGTCGTTTCTGATTAAACATTAATTTTTTTTTATTCACCCTGTATATGCAAATCCAAAAAATATGAATGGAATGATAAATCACAACTACAGACTCATCATATTTTGCACATTTAAGATTTTGAGGTGACGTCATCAATTTTTAAGGGGGGATGAGCAAATACATTTTGAGTAAAAATTTACCATGCTTATCATAACTGTAAACCATCTGCAAGATTTCAAAGCATTCGGTTTTGCAGATTCGGAATTAAATTGCAAATTTTGATTTTTTTCCCGAAAATCTGGACGTTTCGGGAAAAAACTCAATTCGGAGTCATAAACTACATGTGTAGGACTATGTTATTTTATACAATTTAAAACCCATTTACTATGTACAATTTTGAAATGACGTCATCGCATTAGTGGTGGGGATGATTCGACAAATTTTGGTTAGCGTTTTACCATCCACATGATATTCCTAATATAAGTACAAAATTTCACAACAATCGGTCCAGTATTTTCGGAGATTATCTGACTAATAAAAATCCGGGCGGCAGACAGACGGACAGATAGACGGAAACGGGAGACCTATTTCTTCGTTGTCGTCATGAAAGATCGAGAAAATGTAAAAGTAGAGAGTCGGCCGACCGACTCGATTACAATATTTCCGTTGCTTACGCTCGGGAAGTAAAAGCGTACCTCTATTTACCCTTTCACAAAATATTGTAACAGATTTTGAAAATAACCCTATTGACATTTTTTACGAACCCTGCCATTGCCAAAAAACTTCAAGAAAATTGGAATAACGTGGCAACGTTGCAACGGAATTTCAAAAATATAAAGACTAATGAGAATATGTAAAAATAAAATATACACGGTGTTTCATTAAAAAAAAAAAACTAAATTGTGTATTACGCACCAATTAACAACAAAACAGAACAGAGTATAGTCGTCAAAAAACCCACAACTTTGATATTTGACTTTGTTTCTATTAATAATTATTATTAATTAATGAAATATCGAGCTCCGCGCGCTCAGTGACTAATCCCGTGTATTAATTAATTAATTAAACACACTTGGTTTTTCTTCCAAAAAATGTAGATACTAGCAGGAATAGTACATATAAGAAACAAAAAATCCAGATGTTTGAAACCAAGCTTGACACACGCTACGCCACAGTAACTTTACTCGTAGAAAAGATTGCAATACAATTTCGGTTTTTTGCGAAAATTTGAATGCTTCGGGAAAAATCTGAAGACAAATTCACAAAAAACAAGTACATAAGTATGTTATTTTATAAAATGTAGGTCCTACTTATTGTGAAAAATTTTGAGGGTGTCATATTGCATTGGTGATAGGGATGATTAGGCAAATTTTGATTAGCGTTTTACCATCTACAGGATATTCTTAACATACATATAAAATTTGACAACAGTCGGTGCGGTAGTTTCGAAGATTATGTGTCTAATAAAAATCCGGACAGACGGCAGACAGACACGCAGACACAATCATGACACGTCGAGAAAATATAAAAGTAGCCAGTCGCCCGATGAACTCGATTAGTATTTTCCAAAATATTTACATTTCTGTGAAAGAACATAATGATAGGTTTAAAATTGTACACAAACCTGTTTAGTCACCTTATCTTAAAACACGTATAAAAATACAAACAAGTTGTTTGTTTAAAACCGATTAAATTTGTAAATTGTTAATTATTATAATAAATCTAAACAAATAGTGCAAAAAAAACTCAATCTAAATAAGCAGAGTCCATATGAAAAAATGATACAACTAACAGTTTACAAATTTAGTCACCTTGTCGATAAAAGGTAAAAGAGCTCTTTAGTTTTTGGTACGTTTATCAGGCAAGATAACTAAAAATTTAGTGTGAAATGCGAGACCTCCATATTTAAACATGGTAGAATTGAGGATTTTTAAACAACTATTTTTTACAAATAAGTACAAATATGTTGAAAACTGTAAAATAGTGTTACATGAAAATAATTTTCAATCGATACCTTAAATGACTAGTATCAGATTGTGTAAACTTTTTTTTAATAATTCACCAGTGCATAATCTTCCGCCTTGAAATTTATACTGCAAGCTTGAAGTTAGTTTTGAAAGTTGAGTTGCTTGAAATACGCTCGAGCAAATACAGATTGCTACATTTCCTTCGTCTACGCTAGGAAAGTAAAAAGAAATCATCACAATACTTTTATCAGTGTAACGAATTAATTTATTTTTAAAAAAGGGCTTATTCGTTTTCTATACAGAACTGCCTTGCAACTAACGCTAATCGGCTTCAAAGACCGAATTTGAATCATTAGAACATGTTTAACATAAAATTGATATTTAAAATTACCATCAATATAACGAAAATTAATGTTACTTGGACAAAACGTAGACAAATATCTATAATACAACCTTATTGTTTTTCTGATTGTACTAATCTTGTCAATCAATTATTGACAGTGAAGGGTCAACTAATAGCAGGTTTGATTTTGATCTTAGCTAGACATTTGACCTTACCAAACACGAAAAATGTTCCAATAAACTAACGTGTTATATTTCATTGAATATGTATTAAACCGAGTAAGTAGTTATTTTTACCAACTAATATTTTAGGAAAGTCAATGGTAAATGTAAACAAAGTAGAAATACAATAATCATTATAATACCAGCTTCTTTCGTATAAGAACCATTGCGTTTGTGGATACGTTTACATAAACAACTAACCCAACACTACTAAATATTGCAGTTATAAGTTGAAAACTTATTTTCAAGAACGGTGTCAAATCGGGTAAAAGCTAAAGTGAAACTGATTACATTATTTAAGATTTTTAAAACTACCTACAACAATAAACCTCCAACTGCAATGGTAAGTTCTTGAAAACGACAAAATTTAGAGAAACTTTTACTACTACACTCCACTAATTTGTTATTTAATAACGACAGATTGATGTCTAAATAAACTAGTTCGAACATAATGGAAACATAATGAAATAATTAAGTTCCGCATGTTCTATAATAAGAGCTTTCGGATTTCTCGTAAATGTCAATCGCCTAAAATTAAGTTATTTAGCAAAGACCCAATCGATATTGTCGAACGGTATTAAGTTCTGCCAAACAAGCATTGTAGTAGAAATAGTTGTTCATTAGCTACAAAAGCATCACTTGCACTGTTCTGTTCTGGAACTTCCTCAAAGGTAGTTGTGTTATTTACGCTTCAAACAAGTACGAACAATGGCAATTGTTTACCTTTTATTTATAGCTTAAAGTGTTGTGTACAAGAACAATTTAAATAGGTGTACTAAACTAATTATTTTCATTATCTATGATAGCCTAATGGTAACACAAACTTACGTTTAGATATATGTCTTCTTATAACAGGAAAGTAAAAATAAAATTATCAAATGAATAAATCTACCTTTGCCATTATATTTTTAAATGTTATCGCGTCATCGATAAGAGGTAAAAAAACTAGCTGCAATAATAAAAATACAAAATTTTGAGCAATTAAATGTTTATGTACTAAAGCAAATGTCAATTCACTAGCACTTCACTTAATCTTAAGCAGAACCAGTACTATTGCATATTTCGACTTTTAAGGAAAAAAATTACATTGATCATAGATAATTTTAATCAGCATTGAGATTTAACAAAGCTATTGTGGAAAAAAGAAAGTTGAGAAACAGTTCCTTATTTTGGGAATGTGAGTATATATGTGCGACAAAAAATATTCGTGTCAGATTTTGAATTATTCTAACTAGTTAAAACCGGGAATTTTCATTATTATTCCGCGATTGCTATATTCTTTTGAGCGGATGAATTTCTAAGTTTTGTTTTAGTAAGTAATTTCTTTTTATCTTTTAGCATTTGCGGCCACATTTTTTTGAAATTTTAACAGACTTACTAAATTTTGACATATTTTAAAATACCTATCACTTTTCTTTTCCACGTCCATTCATTACTACTTGGGATGACTATGACATAGTATTATTCAAATTTCCCACCCAGATTTTTTAATCAAATTTCAATTTTAAATAAGTATGGGACTACAACGCGTTTGAAATTGTTTAAATTTTTTAGTATAATGAATTATTTTCGTTTTCCAGAAATTACCTGAGGAAGAGTTGACCTTTGAGAGCATGAAAAAAGTATTGACGGAACCGGCAGAAACGCGGAAGGAGGCGGAAGCACGCCGACGCAAACAATTGAGCGACACATTCCGTACCGCAACATTTTCTGAACTCGTCAGAAGGACGCAGCCAAAAGTAAAATGAAATTATTTAACAAAGCCTGATTTAAAACTTCGATTTTTCAGCATGATGTTTTGCAGAATAAGCTGAACGAAATTTTCAAGTCGCTGAGCGCGAACGAACGCCGCAATCCGCCGGAAATCGAGAAGAAAATGGAAAAGCCTGCGTACGAACAAAATTTCCCCGAATTATTCTTCTATTAAATCTCCCGCTTAGCAGTTGTATTTAGCAATATTCGTGTAGACTGGTTAGTGTTGGTTATTGTTAACTGGAAAGTTTATCAAAATGTGTTATGTATTTTTATAGAGGTTCTAACATGATGTTTCTGAACTTATTTATTGAATTCTAAATAAAGCTATATATTCTAAGGAATAAGACATTGTATCCTGACATGAACTTTTTTTATTGGGACACCACAACACATACATTTCAAAAAAGAAATTTAGCAAGCAGCTCCTATGTTGTAGCATGAAGTGAGATGTTAATCTAACTGATACTCAAGACGTTATTAAGTAGAAAAAAAAATTGTAACTTTAACTTTTACTTCTGAATTTTGACTATCTGACTGCATTGCAATGAGATTTTTATTCAACCTTTAGGAGTTCTACATCAAAGATTAATGTAGAATTTGGCGGGATGATTCCGGGATGACCACGTGACCCATAGGCGTAGTCTGGAGAACACGTCAACTTCGCCCTTTGGCCAACACTTAACTAAAAACAAATCAATACATTACATATTATCATTGTGTCTACTATGCTAGCAATTTCAACCAGAAATCAGTTTGAAATTAGTAACATCAAGCATCAGAGCGCAAGGATTGTTAACATCATAATGACAATTGATATCCAACCCATCTGTCAACTTACTTGTGCTACGCCTTCATCCCAGCCTTTAATAACTTCCCCCTTTCCGATGCGGAATTTAAAGGGCACGCCTCTGTCTCGAGACGAGTCAAACTTCGTTCCATTTTGTAGAGTACCCGTATAATGAACGACGACGGTTTGACCTGTTTTGGGAAAGGTCTGACCTGCAAATTGATAAAAAATATTCATTACTTCAAGGTCATTGGGATTACCGCATAGCCGCTATTTGATATTAATTAACTCTCGAACGGAGGCGTTAATTGAATCGAATTGAGTGATTGAATGGGGCGATTAGTAGTCGATAATAGGTTCATTAAATTATGATTTATTAGCGATTTGTTGTCAATAAGCTGTTTGATAAACTTACCATCGCCGGGTGAGAGTGTTTCGACCTGGACTCCCATGACTGACACCAATTAAATGCTGTAAATGACAGAAAATGTCACACTTTACTCTTTCGCCACGCAATTTTATAAATCCCTACCTTAAATTACAACTATTTACAAAATTAAATGCAAAGAAACGCCTTTACGTGAGAGATTGAAAACAAATGGCGTCGGTTAACCTGTGACGTAATCAGGTTACAGCGCACGTGCAAGATTGTCGGTAGGCCGAATACACTCGTCGATAAAAATTAGGGTCAGTGCGGAAACGGAAAATCGGTACGTGCCCGCTTTTTTAAGTTTTTCATATGAATCGACATCATCTCATGGGACGAAATGACTTTATAATACTCTTTTATTGCTTTGTGATATAAAAAAAAATAGCAATTCCCAATTTTAAATGCACACATGTGTCGACTACTAAATCCACTGCAATTGGTTACGAGTGTTACGACTTGCGATCCAACAAACGACTCGAAATCTACGCTCTACCAATGAAAATTCTAGTTGATTCCGTTCAGTAGCGCTATTGGTTAATTTAAAGTTTACATTTTTACGCGCGATTTTAAAGCAGAGAATAATTCATTTATTGCGAACAACATGTAGAAACATGAAATATTCAACATTTTTTGACCCTAATAATTATTCACTTATTCATGTATTCCCAGTTTTGGAACCCACTACTATAGAACTATTTACATTGGATTGAACACACAAATGCTAGTCTTATTAATACATTTAAAAATCAAAATGACTGAGGCACCAATTTAAAAAATGGAACCTTCCTTCACTTGCAATAAGCTTTCATGGATTTTTTTCCGCCACGCTTTCAGAGTCAGCCTGTATGCTGTAATACTGTGGTGTCCTCATTTAAAAATTAGATCATTTCAATACTGTAGTCAACCACCCATTATCATGAACGCGTGAAAGTTCATGATAACAGCGTAGTTTAATTCATTTCATTAATATACAGGTGATTTTTTTATCCTGGAACTTTTAAACATCTCGAAAAATATGCACTCTACGAAAAAATATTTAGAATAAAAATTTCATCTTTCCGTGAGGGAAATTTATTGGTGATAAACTTAGCCCCCCTGTCATACTCCTTGGAAGTGGGGCGGGGGGTAACTTTGAAATCTTAAACAGGTACCCCTACTTTTTAGTGCAGATTCGGATTCTACGACTAAAAGAATGTACAATTTGCTTGAAACATTTTTTTCGATTCATCATAGATGACGCTGTAATAGACGAAATTCAGTTATGTAGATTTTCCCTACTGAAAACCTCTGGATATGAATCTGAAATCCGTTTGCAATAAAAATACTGCGTTTTCATTGTAAAAAATTAAAATTAGTCTTAAAACAAAATTTATTTTTCCAATTTACTGAAAAATGACATGTCAAGAAACTATTTACATACTATTATCGCAACTCACGCACAAGTGTTGTTTACATTAAATGTTTGTGTTATTTCTTTTCTTTTGTTTTTTTTTTGTAATTTCAAAAACAATACAATAAGAAATAAAACAAAATAAACGTATAAAACAGGCATTCACATTTCTACAGGTAACAATTGCCCCATTATTCAAAATTTGCAAAATGATTACACTTTTTTGACGACGAATTTCAAGTAAATATTTACATAAAACGTGCTATTTCTTTTGCAAATGTAATTCACAAGCGTATGCATAGGTTCGTAGAACGAAGATTGGGGATAAGATTAGGGAGACTAATCTTATCCCCAATATATTTCCCCCATGGAATGATGAAATTTCGATTCTAAATATTTTTTCGTATTTAGAATGGATATTTTTCGAGATATTTTAAAGTTTCAGGTTAAAAAAATCACCCTGTATGCCAAAATAAGACAGAACGCCATGTCCATGTCATCCTTACGATCATTAACTACGATAAAACCTGAAGGTTTATTATTATTATTATTATTATTATTAAGACCCACCACTGACCCGGAAATGACCGGCATTCAGGCAAGACTTCTATCATTACGGGTATTAAGACCAAGTAATGATATGCATTGATTAGATTAACAAAACAACTTTTGAGATTCTAGAATTACAGCATACAAATTAGTCTGCTATTATTCTCTAATCTCACCCCATCCCCAAAAGTCTAGCGTAACTACAAAACATTTATCCGCGAATCACTTGGAAAGTGACTTACACTACTCTGACCTATACTGGTGCTAATCTAATCTGACTGACATGATCAGACTGTTCGAGAAACTTACGAACAATATGACATGTTCCTAATAAAACAGCTTTTTGAATTTTGACAATTATTGAATCATTCAAATGCAAAGACTTTAAATTCTCAACTAAGTTATTTGGGACTACACCTACATTAGAGATAACTAAGGGTAGAATTGAAATTTTTTTAAGATTCAACATGGATTTCATTTCTATCGATAATTGTAGATATTTTGAAATCTTGGTGTGGTATGTTTGAATAATGTTGTTTGTGTTAGGAATAGCAATGTCAATGAAAATGGCTTCATTCGTGTGTTATTTGTAAGTATGATGTCTGATCTGTTAGCTGTAATGTTTAAGTGTGTACTGTGCGATCCCAGTATAATTTATAGTTGTTATTTTCAAGGAACGGAGATGGAATGTAAGTGTAATAGGGTGTTATATCTTTGATTAAGTTCATAAGTGTTGCTAATTCTTTGTGAATGATTTTGGCTGCGTTGTCGTGTCTAGCTTTGTAGTCAATTTGTGCCAGGATGCTGCAGGAGGAGATTATGTGCTGGATCGTTTCAGGTTTTGCTTTGCAGAGGCGACAGCAGTCGTTTCTTATATTCGGATCTTTGATGATGTATTTTCTGTAATTCTTGGTATTGATTACTTGGTCTTGAATAGCAAACACAAATCCTTCTGTTTCGGCATACAAACTTGATTTTTTTAACCAAATCAATGGCATCTTCTTGTTGACATGAGTTTCTTCTAAGTCTTTGTAAAATTTTCCATGTAGTTGTTTTTGTTTTAGCCGACTTATTATTTTGTCTATTGTGTGGGGGGTGTGGATTTCTTCGGTGTTCGACAGATTTAAGGGTGTGTGGTTCAAATCTGCTCTTGTGATAGTGCGAAACATTTCATTTCTTTCTGCTCGTTTCAAGAAATACTTCTTCAGATCTGAGATTTGTCTCTGATATAAGTTTTTTACGTTCTGGAAACCCCTTCCTCCATTCTGTCTTGGCAGTGCCGAAACTAGCTATAGGCGGAGTAGGCCCTTGCCTAGGGGCGCCAACGACAATGGGCGCCAAATTCGTCCAAAAATTATGTTGTACTAACCAAGAATTATGTCACATTAATCTTTTTTTATTTTGAACGGAAACTCAGAAACATGTAACCGGTGCGACAGGATTTTTAATGTTTATTTTGTTTTTACTTCCCGAGCGTAGTCAAAGGAAGTATTGTAATCGACTCCGTCGACCGAATCTCTACTTTTAAGTTTTCTCGATCTTTCATGACCCCTACAGTACGAAGAAATAGGTCTCCCGTTTCCGTCTGTCTGCCGTCCCGGATTTTTTTTAGACAGATAATCTCCGAAAGTACTGCGCCGATTGTTGTAACATTTTGTACTTATATTAAGACTATCATGCAGATGCTAAAACACTAGCCAAAATTTGTCTAATCACCAATAATGTGATGTACACAGTAAATGGATTTCAAATTGTATAAAATAACATAGTGCTACACATGTAGTTTATAATAATAATAATAATAATATTTATTAATATCAGGGACACACAAACGTGTTTGATATGCGTCGTTGAAAAGTGGAAACATGTACAATAAAATTTGATAAAATTTATATAAACTAGTCACAAACACAAAAATTATAAAACACAGTAACTACATGATACACATATATATAAACTGATATTTCAAATGAATATGTTTCGTGAGAATTCTTTTAATGTATATAATTATTATAATTCAGCTTTTACCAATTTATATTTTACTTGTTTTTTGAAGACACTTAACTGCATTGCTCTATAGTTCTGAGGTAACGAATTATAGATATAATTTGAGGGATTGGTAGTAACAGCTCTTTTCAAACAGTGTTGTTCTATGACGTGGATATCGGGAAATGTCAGTTTTTCGTGTGCAACTTTCGCTGATTAAAGCTTTTTGAAAATAGTTTTTATGTTGTTGATGAAAACATAGACATTCGTAAATATATAACCCGGTTTTCGTTAATATATTGTATTTTTTGAATACATCCCTACACGAATCCGTCATTTTTAAACCTGTTATTATTTTCATCGCTCTTTTTTGGATAACAAACACTTGATTGTTATCAGAATTTCCCCAGAAAGTGATACCATATTTAAGGGTAGAAAAGAAATGACCGTAATAACAACTTATTAGAGTTTCGAGGTTGACTAGTTTTTTCAGTTCCCTAAGCATGTAACAAGTTTTTTTGTTATACTTTCAAAATGATAGTTCAATGTTAAATTTTCGTCAATTTCGACCCCTAGAAAATTTAAGTGTGACTCTATATTTAGCATGGTGCTGTCAAGTACTACCTTTTTTACATAATTATTGTTGTTATTAATGTGATGGAACAGCATTAAATGTGTTTTATTTTCGTTAAGTTTTAGACCATTTGTGTGAAACCAAGTTCGAAATTCTGGAAGTATGAAATTTGTTTTTTCGGATAGATCTTTTAAATTTTGTCCTTATATTAGTAGGTATACTAGTGTCATCTGCATAATTTATTATATGTGAATCAGTTTTCTTAATATTATACGATAGGTTATTGATGTATACGAGAAATAATAACGGACCGAGTATACTTCCCTGCGGAACACCACAAGCAAGCTTTTTTTCATTAGATAAGTATTCACAATATCAAAAGCTTTTGATAAGTCTAAAAAAACACCCAAACCAATATTAGTTGTGTCAATAACGCCGTATACATTTGTTATAAATTGAAAGATCGCTGTGATAGTAGAAAGCTTTGTCCTAAACCCATGCTGACTATTTGACAGAATATTTTTTGCACTAAAGAAATATATAAGCCTCTTATAGATAATTTTCTCAAAAATTTTCTAAAAGGAACTGATCAAACTAATTGGTCTATAACTTTCCACTGAAAAATGGCAGCCTTTTTATTTATAAAGGGGCTTAATGATTGAGATTTTTAATTTGCTTGGAAAAATACCTTGTTCAAATGATCTGTTTATTATATACTTTAGTGGATCTATAATAAAATGTGCAATTTTTACTTCCCGAGCGTAAGCAAAGGAAGTATTGTAATCGAGTCCGTAGGCCGACTCTCTACTTTTACGTTTTCTCGATCTTTCATGACCCCTAGAAGACGAAGAAATAGGTCTCCCATTTCCGTCTGTCTGTCCGTCCGTCCGTCTGTCCGTCTGTCCGTCTGTCCGTCTGCCGTCCCGGATTTTTATTAGACAGATAATCTCCGAAAGTACTCGACCGATTGTTGTGAAATTTTGTACTTATATTAAGAATATCATGTAGATGGTAAAACGCTAACCAAAATTTGTCTAATCATCCCCACCACTAATGCGATGACGTCACTTCAAAATTGTACATAGTAAAATAATGGGTTTTCAATTGTATAAAATAACATAGTCCTACACATGTAGTTTACAACTCTGAATCGACTTTTCACCCGAAACGTCCAGATTTTTGGAAAAAAAATCAAAATTATAAAACAACATTTTGAAATTTAATTTTTAATCTGCTAACCAGAATGCTTTGAAATGTTGCAGATGTTTTAAGGCTATAAAGAGCATCATAAATCTTTAGTCAAAAAATATTTGCTTATCCCCTCCAAAAACTTGATGACGTCAGCTCAAAAGTTTGTGGAATAAATCATATCTAAAATGTACAAAATATGATGAGTCTGTACTTGTGATCTATCACTCCATTCATATTTTTTGGATTTGCATATACAGGGTGACTCAAAAAAATTAATGAATGCGTAAATTTATTTTACTGATTTACTCAGAAACTACAAAACCGAATGCTTTGAAATCTTGCAGATGTTTTAAGGTTATAAAGAGCATCATAAATCTTGAGTCAAAAAATATTTGCTTATCCCCTCCAAAAACTTGATGACGTCAGCTCGAAAGTTTGCCGAATAAATCATATCTAAAATGTACAAAATATGATGAGTCTCTACTTGTCATTTATCACTCCATCCATATTTTTTGGATTTGCATATACAGAGTGACTCAAAAAAAATTAATGAATGCGTAAATATATTTTATTGATTTAATCAGCAACTACAAAACGGAATGCTCTGACAACTTGCAGATGTTTTAAGGTTATAAAGAGCATAATAAATGTTTAGTCAAAATATATTTGCTTATCCCCTCCAAAAACTTGATGACGTCAGCTCGAAAATTTGCCGAATAAATCATATCTAAAATGTACAAAATATGATCAGTCTGTACTTGGGATCCATCACTCCATTCATATTTTTTGGATGTGCATATACAGGGTAATTCAAGAAAATAAATGAAAGCGTAAATTTATTTTACTGATTTACTCAGGAACTACAAAACCGAATGCTTCGAAATCTTGAAGATATTTTAAAATTATCATAAGCATGGTAAATTTTTGATCAAAATGTATTTGGTCGTCCCCCCTAAAAAATTTATGACGTCACCACAAAATTTTGCTGAATAAATCCTATCTAAAATGTACAAAATATGGTGAGTCTCTTCTTGTGATTTATCATTCCATTCAAATTTTTTCGATTTGCATATACAGGGTGACTCAAAAAAATTAATGAATGCGTAAATTTATTTTATTGATTTAATCAGGAACTACAAAACCGAATGCTTTGAAATCTTGCAGATGTTTTAAGGTTATAAAGAGCATAATAAATTTTTAGTCAAAATATATTTGGTTATCTTCTACAAAAAACTGATGACGTCAGCTCAAAAGTTTGCCGAATAAATCGTATCTAAAATGTACAAAATATGATGAGTCTGTACTTGTGATTTATCATTCCATTCATGTTTTTGGATTTGCATATGCAGGGTGACTCAAAAAAATTAATGAAGGCGTGAATTTATTTTATCGATTTAATCAGGAATTACAAAACCGAATGCTTTGAAATCTTGGGAATATTTTAAAGTTATTATAAGCATGGTAAACTTTTATTCAAAATGTATTTGTTCATCCCTCCTAAAAAAATTGATGACGCCACCCTTAAATTTTGCTGAATAAATCCTATCTAAAATGCAAAAAATATGATGAGTTTGTACTTGTGATTTATCATTCCATTCATATTTTTTAGATTTTCTTAAGAGGTGTTTCAAAAAAATTAATGAAGTCAATTTATTTTATTGATTAAATTAAAGGCAACACTTATTATTAGTATTACACCCCAACCAATCCAATTTGGTAGACACAAAATTTGTTAAAGGAAAAACTCGGTTGAAACATAAGGGTAGCACGCTTATTTACATCGACTTTAACATTACAGACCTGCATTTGTTTTATGCGCTCACTTGGTTCCGCGAATGTGAAATAGACATGTTTATAATCAACCAATTGTGAATTTCACCGTCAAGAATTAAAATAAAACCCAATGTTTCATATAATAAGCGGAAGTCGAAGCAATAAAACCGATGGTCGTTTTGTTTACAGTTTCTCTGTTTGACTCTCACGTATGCTGTTACGCTTGTCATCTTAAATTAAGAATGTTTATACATAAACGATTTTCAGTTGCCTTTCATATTACTAGACAGCGGATTTTTGTCGGGCTACGTCACGATTATAGGTGGTGACGCGCTGGATCGCCGGGACTCAGTAGCGGGTGATAGATAATCACTGAATTTAATCAGTACTAATTCCATAAATATAATTAACGATTTATTAATCAAACGCCTAACCCCAGTAACATTTTATATGTAATAAATATTGAAGTTCTGACATTTAAATAATATGGGTAACGACAGATTTTTTTTTAGAAAATCAATATTGGTTTTAAATATTGAATATATATTTATTTTCAATGTTTAATACTTATTTAGTTCAGAACATTTAATAAATGTTCTTCATGTGAAAGGGGATATGGATATAAAAAAACTTGTATGGAATACAATATAAAATTTATTAAACACAAAAATACATTGTCACTGGAAATAACAGTGTATTTGAAACGTTGCGGCAATATTTATACATTTAAAAATTATTTGTCCTAGAACCAATTCGTTGAAAATTTGTACCAGGTGATTTTTTTTTAAATTTCTGCTGTATTTACCCATGACACTTATGTCAGCAGCGAAACTGAAACTGCTGACATAAGCTTCATGGGCAACCAGAGCATAAATTTAAAAAATCACCTGATGTGAAATACAATATAAATTTTTCAAACATAAAAATACACTGCCAACTTACAATGAAATAAAAATACATTGTCAATGGAAATAACAATGTTCTGCTACATTTCAATCGTTATACAGAAATATTTACTTAATAATTATTTGCTCTATAACCAATTCATTGAAAAGCGATATAATTAATTAAAATAAAAAAAATCATACCTCATGTTTTTTTTTGATGAGAATTCATTCTTGCTTTTGTCTGCGCTACATAAGGTCCTACCATTTTTTAAATTTCAGTAGTTATGGCGTTTTTGTGACGTTTCCGTGTGGTACCTACAATTAAATTAACTTACAAAGTTCGTAATTTTTAAGAAATCACACAACTTTACATAATGTACCCTTGTTAATTGTGAGTTCACTAAAAGAGAGCTTATTTTTTTCCTTGCCCTGAAAACTTGAAAGCAATTTGGTTCATTATTAATAATTTCTTCAAAATTGCATACATGTTTTTTTACGTCTTCTCTTCCTGGCAAATAAAGATTATTATCAGTCTGAAACTAGTTTATAAATACTAGGAGTTAATAATAATAATAATAAATGCTTACCAATTCATCCAATTTCTGCGTATCTCCCGCAATTTCTAACTCGATTTCTTCTTTTTTTTTTAGTTGCGCCCGGACCTTCATCATTCATCATTTTGTCTCGACATTCATAGTATGTTTATATTCAGAAATATTAAACCTCTTAAATATGCTTACGTGTTGAGAAATTGCATTTGCTGCATTGCATGTAGAAGTGAGGTTATGTAGGATTAGTACTGTTTTCTTGACAAAACGGTATTACACTATTCTGAATTTATCGCAGTACCGATAATCACAATTCACAATAGGACAAACACCATGAACTTACACAAAATATTTTTTTAACCACCAACAATAACAGAAAATATGTATATGTTGCACATTGCGCAAACGCGTTCCAGCAGAGTAAGCGCATCTGTACGTGCAACGCAAATTTAAGTAAGTTTTATAAAAATGATGAATAAAATTGTTATTTTTTGTTCGCAAAAATAAAAAAAAATATTACTATTTAATGAGCAATTAATAGTGTGTAAAACGAGATATCGAATAGTGTCAATTTCACAATAGCTAGTGTTCGGTCCAGGCAGGTAGACCGAAGGAGAAGGGGTGCAGCAGACTCCACCATCTCACCCACCACCACCACTTGTAAATATGTAAATTTAAATAATAGTAGATTCGAATAAACCGTGAAGCAGAAAGGTCGTGTCTCATTGAAACTATATTTATAGTTTCAACAACATTTTTTGGTCATCCATTGTGACCAACATTTGTGGTCACCCATTTTGTGACCGCTGGTCCTTCGAGCAAACACAAAACCTTCCGTTAGGTCACCCACTTATGACCTAACATTTGGTACTACGAGCCGAGTCGTCACAATTTCCGTCAGGTCACCCATTTATGATCTAATAGCTAGTATTTTTTCAAATCAATTTTTAATATTGCTCCAATAAAAACCCTATGAAATAAATTACCTACAAGTTGTCCCAACATGGTACTTTTTTTAATTTTTTTTGTTCGGTATCTTGATAAAAAGACATTTCATAAATATGTAATATATGTTGAAATTCATATATAATTTTATAAATATAAAATGAATATTATATAAATATTTGTAATATCTAGTCAACATTTAATATTATATCAATCTTGTATAAATATTAGAAAAATATTGCTTGCTACTGGGGAAGTAAATGAGAACGGGAATTAACAGCAGAGTGCAACGAAACAGCGTTATTCTAATCTCAAATAAACGAAGTGCAGTCCGCAACCGCAATGAATTCGCATCCCGTACGAGCCGTAACGAGTTTGGTCTTACCTAACCCGACAGAAATCCGCTCTCTAGATATTACACACCGGCGCCGTATACGTGAGTAAATTGTTTCGTTATTTTATTGATTATAAGAAATCAATATTCAAAACGAGCCAATTCATTTTCCCGAAAATTTGGGAATACAATAATTTTATTCTTAGTATTACACTACATCTATCCCAACTGAAATACGTGTCCTTGCAAAAATGTTGATGACGTCATCACATTTTTTTTTTAAATTCCCCTTACAAAAATGTAATGAGAAAAAAAACACAATAGGCATGCAGTCGTCAAGTTTCCGACAGCGAGGGAAGTACTGTCTAAACTCTTTAGACCAATTTTTTTAATGGTTATACTTGGAATTTGATTATATCCGTATATGATTCCGTATTTTTTACCCGAAACGTTCAAATTTTTGGAAAAAAAATCAATCATAAAACAACATTCTGTGATTTTATTTTGAATCTGCTAAACCGAATGCGTTGAAATCTTGCAGCTATTTTAAGGTTATGATAGGCATGATAAATGTTTCATCAAAATATTTTTGCTTATCCCCTCCAAAAAATTGATGAGGTCAGGTCAAAATTTCACCGAATCTAAAATGTAGAAAATGTGAAGAGTCTGTACTTGTTATTAATTATTCCGTTCAAAGTTTTTGGATTTGCAGATATAGGGTGACTCAAAACAATTAATGACATGCGTGTATTTATTTTACTCATTTAAGCAGGAACTACATAATCGAATAGTTTCAAATCTTGGAGATATTTTCAAGTAATGATAAGAACAGAAATTTTTTTATCAAATTGTATTTGCTCATCCCACCCTAAAAAATTTATGACGTCACCCCAAAATTTTGCTGAATAAATCCTAATGTACAAAATATGATGAGTCTGTACTTGTGATTTATCATTCCATTCATATTTTTCGGATTTGCGTATATTTTGCGGTGACTAAAAAAAATTATCATTTTATTTCAGGAGCGAGGGAAATTCTGTCGAAACAACTTTCGACCATTCTTTTTTATATTTGATCATATGTAATATCTGTTTTGTATAGGTACTTATAAAAAATATAAATAAAATTGTTCTGTAAAATTGCATTTTTATGTGTAGAGGGGGGGCGCCTAACGCAAGGTTCGCCTATACCTAAATATTCTCTGGTTTCGGCACTGTGTCTTGGTAATGAGAATCTTTCAATGGACGATTTTGGATAATGCCTTCTATACTGTGTGAAGATTTTCTTTGTTGCGATGTTTAAATTTTCAAGATCAGTCTTGGACCATTTAATGACTCCAAAAGAATATGTTAGCAGTGGAACGCAGAATGTATTTACTGCTTTCATTAAATTTTTTCCATTTAACTGTGTCTTCAATATTAATTTTAATCTCGCTAGGTATTGATCTTTCAACTGTGTTTTCGTTTTGGTATGATTGATGTGGGAGGATTGACAAAAACCCAGATATTTGTATGTATCATTTCGTTCTTGGGCTTCGATTATTTCCTTATTCTGGGTTATATGTGGTACTTGGTGTTGGACGCCTTTTCTGATTGCTTGGGTCTTACATGTCTCAATACCAAAAGACATACCAATATCACCGGAAAACTGTTCAGTCAGATTTAATAGGTTTGTTAACTGATTTTGTGTACTTGCATATATTTTTATGTCATCCATATACAGCAAGTGACTTATTCTGTTTTCTCTTTGTTTGTTAATTCTTATATTGAACCCATAATTGCAGCTTGTTCAGGATATCGGAGAGGGGATTTATTGCCAAGCAGAACCATAACGGGCTAAGAGAATCGCCTTGAAAAATTCCTCTTCGGATCACTATAGGATCTGACTGAATTGTTTGTTTATTTAAGGTTATCTGGAGGGTGGTCTTCCAAAATTCCATGGAACATTTGAGAAAAGTGCAGATTTTAGTATCAATTTTGCATAATTCCAGAATTTTGCATAGCCAGGAATGAGGGACAGAATCGTAAGCTTTCATATTATTATTATTATTATTATTATTATTATTATTATTAATATTATTCCTAACAGATAAACCATTTATAAGGATGGGGAAGAATTAAGAAAAAAAGAGAAAATATGATATTATGCGATATACAGTATTGCTCACATAAATCCCGTACAACATAAAAGTGAGTTGTGTCAAAATCAATACAAAATCAATAACATAGATACAAATTTCAATTATCATCTGAACGAGATGAGAACATGACTGTATATTCTTATTGGTAGTACAAAAATCTTCAGATGAATATAAAAAAAAAAACCGCCTGAAGTCCTAAAAAAACATTAAGAAACCTCAAGATTCCTTCAAACTCTTCCAAAAAGAATTAAATACCAAGAGCTCACGAGACTTTCAAATTCTTGTAAAAATAGAACACCCTAAATCTCCAAGATTTTTCACATTCTAAAAGAAAAAAGAAGCAAATAGAGCCTCCAAGATCTTTTCAAATTTTTTTCAAAAACAAAACACAAGGAGTCTTGAAGATTGTTTCATACTGAAAAAAATATATGGAATTCCAAGATTCTTTCACTCTTTCAAAAGTAAAACATCTGTAGGCCTCAAGATCTTTTCAAATACTTTCAGAAAGAAAACACCAGAGACCCCCGAGATTATTCCGAGTTCTTTCAAAAATAAAACACCAATGATCCCCAAGATTTCTTCACTTTCTTTCAACAATAAAAGCACCAAGAACGTCCAGCAAAGTTTGAAGAAAACACAGCCAGTTCCTAAGATTGTTTGACATTAATAAACCACTAGAGGAACCCAAGATTATTTCAAACTCTTCCAAAATTATCAGGAGCCTCCAAAATCTTTTCAAATTCTTTCACAAAACACCAAAAGTGATATTTATAGATTTTAGTTTAACTAATAACAAAGTACCACCAATATCAACCAAATCCCAGTCTTATTATACAGAGAAATGGAAAATGCAATTCGCAGAAAAATACATCTCAAAGTCGTCAAAATATTTGGAGAGCTTATATACTACTCGCCGAAAAAATCGCAACACCAAGAAGTGGCGGTTTTTTATTAATGAAACTTTGTGGAAATATGTATCTATGTTTGATAATGTACTGATAAAAGTTACAACAGATTTTACCGAAAACTGAAGCTTATAAAATTTTTTCTTTCTTATTGTTCTCCGCCACTGATAATTTCTTTGCATTACTGTTCACCATGGGAATTTGTGTTTTATTGTGGTATCTGACAATATTAGTACTGTCACAATGTCTCGTGTGCGAAGACGTCGAAATTTTCAACAACTAATTAGTCTGTTAGAGCGAGGTCGCATTTTGGGACTTCGCGAAGCAGGGTTGTCATTTCGGGAAATCGTTGCTCGCGTGGATCGAAATGTTTCATCTGTATTGCGATGCTGGCGAGCATGGCACGAGGAAGGTAGAGGTCACCGAGCTAGAGGTTCTGGGCGCAGGAGTAGCACGAATCCACGTGCTACTCGATACCTACGAACATTGGCAGTATGAAACCGACATGTGTCTACACGCAGGATAGCAGATGACTGGTATGCGGCGGTTGGTCGGCCGATTGCGATGAGAACAATTTACACCCGCATTCCGTCTATTGGACTACGTTCCTATCGTCCCCATTTGGTACTACCGCTAACTCCAGAACATCGCCGTCAACGCTTGGAATGGTGCCGCGAACGTTTAGGCTGGGATCTTGAGTGGAATTCAGTAGTCTTTTCAGATGAATCCCGCTTTTGTTTAGGCATGCACGACGGTCGGCAAAGGGTTAGAAGATTTCGTGGAGAACGAAGGAATA